GCCTAAAACGCAGCCATTCTACCTCTGAGCCTGATTTCCTAGCCTTTGCCCAGGCCTTGTTTCTCTCATGAAGGACACTGGACAGATTAGCAGAAAACCAAGGATTGTCTCGTCCCTTTACTCTAAATGTACGCAGGGGTGCATGTCTATCAATGATCTCCATAAAACCAAGATACAAATAAGACCATGCGGTTTCTACATCAGCACACAGATCGTTTTTACCCCAATCAAAATCAAACGGATCATGCACAAAACCCTGCTCCACAAAATGTTTTTTGTCTCTCTTAATGATAATGCGAGGTTTAACCTTTTGGACCTTAGTGTCCCTAATTGTGGCTACAACACAGTGATCACTCAGATCATTTGCAAATACTCCCACAGATGAATATTTATGGGTAACATTAGTTAAAATGAGATCAATTAGGGAGGATTTATTAGGGGACTTAATGTTAGGGTGAGTAGGACTGTCAACAATCTGAGTAACATTTAAAGAGATACAAAGGTTTTTAAAATCCTCTGACACTGCAGTTAACCAGTCCCAGTTAAAATCTCCAAGTAGCACTATTTCCTTGTAGTCTAGTTGTGATAAAAGATTTGATAGTGAAGACAAGGAGTCTTTGACAGCTGAGGGGGGTCTGTAACAACTCACTACCATGACCTGTTGACCCTTTGCCACTTCTATATTTATGGCTAAAAATTCAAATTGCTTACTGATCGATTTGGAAAATAATGTGGTTACACTGAACTTATTCTTAACATAAATGGCAACCTTTATTAGGCCGGTCGGTACGATACACATTAAAACCATTTAAGGCAATGTCAGAGGCCAAAATAGATTTTGTTTAGCCATGTTTCTGATAAAACAATGACGTCAGCGTCAGTCGAGCTTGCCCAGATACGGACAAAATCTTGTTTACCTAACAGACTGCGCACATTCAAGTGGATGAAACCCAACCCAGACCTAGCTTTAAAATCAGCAGGAGTAGCGATCTGACTACTACTACTGGGCGGACCAGGGTTAGGTTGTACATTTCCTGACAGTAATAACAACAACAAAAACAGGCATCTTTTCCTCTTAAACGACACACATACATTCTCATCTACTTTAGAAACACCGGAAAAGTCTGTGAGAGTGTGATTTGAGCTTAAGAAGCAGTCCTGAAGAACCATCATCGCAGGAAAACAAAAAAGACAAACATATTTTGTCTAGCAGATTGTCTGTGACAAGGCAACCGGTAATTGTTTGAGCAACACATCCGAACCTTTGCAGGGGATGCCCACTGCGGGTGGCAGAACAGACCTGAATCCAGTAGACTTCTCAGAATGACTAGAGATCTTCTCATAGTCCAAAACAGTTAACAGGCACAGCAGAATCCCGATATGGGCCATTTTCCCAGACCAGCACACAGTATCCGCGATGTTCCTGGAGCAAAATCAGCACAGCAGCAAAGGACAGGCGAAAACAGCAGCGTGGAAGTGCTCCGGTCCCTCCGTGGTATAGGGCTGTAGCGATACACTAATCTCACGATACGATACACGATATTCAGCTCACAATACGATTCGATACGATTCGATATAATTCGATACACTTATATCATTTTCTGAAAGATTTTAAAAGGGGCAGTGTGATTTTGGTGACATCTTGTGAGTGTTCCATTGACTTGGATTGAATTAATTCAACTGAAAACTGAAAGCATCAATTATACAATATATGGCTCTGACAGAGAGTCTACAGCTTGCAAATGCTGGACAAAATGAATCAAAAGATGTGGTGAGAAAATTTGTTTCATTTATTGAAACAGTGCAAACTGTAGCTTACAAGCCTTTGAAACGTAAGTACATAAAGTGCAGTATCACAATGGAGAATTAAAAGGTGCAGCAGGTGGCGGAACACGGGGGATTTGAATGGGACTTGTTAGAAATTAAAATCAATGTTTTGATGGCATAAAGTACCTTAAACATACCGTCAGTTTAAATGCTGTTTTATACTGAAAAACCAGAAGTTCTTGTGCACAACCAGTTGTTAAGCTTTTATTCTGAAAATCCTTCATCTCCGGTTAGCATTTAGCATGTGGCTAATATACCATTTACTATAGAGGTGAATTTAGTAGCGATATGACACGGAGTGTTGCACACCGAAACCTACTGATTTCAACACTACAACTATAGACGTCGAGATATTATTATTGCTGAATATTAAATGAAGGTACAGTTTATTTGAATACGTTTGTTTACAGACGTGGGTAGCATGAGACAACATCCGGAACTACCAGAAATTATACCAGCCATGAGGTATCTTTGGAGTATTGATTACAGCGTTTAAAATGTATTAAATGAAAAGTCATGAAAGAGATAAGGAGGAGAAAAGGCGTGTTTAGTTATATATTTAATGTACAATGTCTGAATCCTCTGTTATGCGCAACAACGAACATTGGAGACGTGGAGGGCCGGCCCCCAGCAGCGCCAACCGGCCCACAGGGAGGAGCCAGCAGAGGATATTTAACAGCTGGAAAGGTGGAGCTCGCTCTCTTCCCTTCGCTCACGAGAGCCAGAACACAGCTGTTTTTCTGACTGAACCATCTTCTGCTTGTAACATTACCGCGCTTTTTATTAATTAAAGTACCCATTTGAACCTTCTCAGAGACTCAATTAGTCTCCTTTTTAAAGCTTCTCTCCTGGACGCGAGAATAACGAACACAGTTATCAGACTTAATGTATCGATACCCGCGGCTGAAATATCGATACTTTCTCGGAAAACTAAATATCGATATATATCGCAGGATCGATTAAATTGCACAGCCCTACCGTGGTATCCCCGGGGTGAAAGCAGGCATCTGCAACAACAGAACCAGGACAGGTGGAAAGCAGGCCCCAGCGGTGGTAAAATCCTCCTCCGCACAGCAGCACACGCCCGGTGGAAGCAGGCCAAGCCCGAAGCGTTGATCCACTCCGTCTCTCCGCGACGACTCCGGGGTAAAAACCTCTCCAGTACAGCCGTACTCTACAGGTGGGAGCAGGCATCCGTTGATCGCAGATCGCAGTCAGCAACAGGTGGAGCTGCTCCGTCTCTTCGCGACGAGCAGGCCTCCGTAAATCGCAGATCGCATGCAGCAACAGGTGGAGCCGCTCCGTCTCTTTGCGACGTCTCCGGAGGAAAAACACCTCAGTACAGCCGTACTCGACAGGTGGGAGTAGGCCTCCGCAGATCGCAGACAACTAAAACTACTACTTGTATAAGCAGGGATGGCTAAAAGTTTGTAAGCAGGAGAGCTAGATGCTAACAGATGCCAGATGCTAACAGGTAGTGCGAGCCTGTAGAAATTGCGACTGCCTCCAATGACAGTGTAGGATTGTGGGTTTATCTAACAATAAACGTGGGTTTAAACGCCAGATCCTTTGTGGTGGTACATTATTACATGTCATTTGTTAGACGCTTTTATCCAAAGCGACTTACTTATTCAGTACTGTGGACAATCCCCACAGGAGCAATTTGGGGTGAAGTGTCTTACCCAGGGACACAACGACATACTGACTGCAGTGGGACTCGAACTTGCTACCCCCTGATTCCAAGTACATGGTTTGGAAAACAAAGTTTCATGGTCTCTGGGCTGTGGTCAGAAATAGCAATGCTCTCATATGGCGCATTTCCACTACACGGCCTCGCTCGGTATGGCTAGGCCTCGTTAGGACTGGCTCACTTTATGGCGCATTTCCATTACAGTTTAGGAACTGGGGTAGTATCTATAGTAACGTAGTGTAGGCGAAGCCGTGACGTCATCTTCAATGAGAACCCCAGAAAAACAACACAGCTGTTAGCACTCAAGCTCACAGCTCCTCATATCTGTTCAGAAACTAGACAAAAGTTAAACGAGTACAAACCACAGACTGTCTGTGTCATGGCGAATACAGTCGCTGGTTTATTTATGTCTGTATAGGCCGTTGTTGTGAGTGTGGACGGTCGGAGCATATATAACGTTAGCTTAGCCAAGCTACATTTAGAAAACACGCATTTTAAAAGGTGTTTTGCCTGCCGTCTGTCTGCAGACTTGTCAAAGCATTAATTCATGGTTTTTACTAACCGGTATCAGTATGTTGTTACTTCGGCATCATTTTGAAACGTGTATTACAATTAAATCACGGTCAAATATGTTCATCTTGTTGTAGTTGTAGCCCCCTTGCCAGCGATTCTCTCTCTAGTTTAGCATACTCAGCTCGACGGCCTGGTTGTTGGCCCTAGAACCACGATTTTATGGGGCCAGAAAACTGTGAAATAGTACCCGCTAGCCGGTACCACGCTTAGTGGAAATGCAACCAAAAACGGGCTCGGCACGTTTAAAGCGAGCTCCGCGCTGTAGTGGAAATGCGCCAATAGTCACTGGACTCAAGCACAGAAAGTAACTTTTGATCTAAAATGAAGTAATCTATTCTTGAGAATGACTGCTGGGCTGCAGAAAAAAATGAAAATTGTTTAGTAATTGTTCATTGTCTAATTTAGCTGCTCGTTTGAGAGTGGTAATGAGGTCCTAGTGATCCTAGTGTCCAGGCTCTCGACCCGGTCCTCCAAAGCCTTGGTGCGGCTGCTGACGCGGTCAATGGTAGATCTCAGCTCGTCCCGCAGTTCGCTTATTTCACGTCGTAATTCTTTAGACTGCATCTCGGCGTTGTCATCAATGTTTTTCAGCATGTCTTCTCTGAGAGATTGAATAGCCTGTAGAATGGTGGCCTCATCACCTTGTGCTGCACTAGTGGCCCTGCCTCAGCACCTTTAGCCGGGCTAACACTGTTAGCTTTCGGATCCAGCGCAGCAGTCACCTTTTTGCGAGAGGAAGACGACATATTTCAAATGAAACTATCGGGCGGAGGCAAGGAAGAACAACTTAGATTAAAGTTACTTGAATATAGTGTGTACAGGGCAGAAAAAGGCCCTGCAGATGGTAATTTCAACAGAAAAGATAATAATATAAATATTGATCCTAGATTTTCCACCCTCTTTCCTTCAGCCCTTTTCCAGGATGTCTCCACTGAGTCCAGGGAGTACGAAGACATGATGACCATCCTGACCTCCAGCTACATCGACACCGGCTCGGCTGGCGGCTTCACCTACTGCAAACCCCGGCTAGTGCACAGCGAGCTGCTGGAGAGGGAGGTGAGACGTGTGGAGGAGCACTTCCCTTTAAATATGTCCTGTAGCTTTAATGCAGTTTACTGGTCGATGTTTGGAGAATATGTGCACCCTTCAACTAAATTGTGTACAAGAGATAGGGGAGTTTGTCAACTCGCATAATTATTTATGAAAATTACAATTAAAAAAGTTAATGCAGGATATCATATGTTTTACGAGACATAAGGGCAGGAATTCAGAGGGGAAAGGAGCCGTTTTGAGCTCTGCTACTAAAAACTTTTTTTTTTTACGTCATACGTGTCATATTAGGTCACATGAGCAACTTTCTCGGACTCCTTCTCTGTCCAATTCATGGTAGTAGTCGGTAGTTGGTTTGAGCGGTTGTGATTTTTACATTGCATTTCACCATTTTTAATCATGGTGAGTTTGTGCAGGTTGCACAAACTCAAGCCTGTCAGGACATCGAGTCCACAGTTTCCCTAACAGGAAAAGGACCGGAGCTAGCGTTCGTTCCTGGGTGAGTTGTGCGAGGTGCATCCACCCCCTGCAGCATTTCCCACACAAGTACCTATCAAACAAAACGTTTATCAGGAAATCGTATTACATCTCTCTCCCCCCTTCGCTCCTCTCTCTCTCCCCTCCGGTACACAGCAACGTAAGACAAAGTGTGGAGTTGCATTAGGTAACGCGAGATACGGCTGATACTTGCGCATTCATTTCTGTTATGGATCAGTATCAACAGTCCTGCCAGTAACGTTACTATATTATCAATACTACTTAGTTATAGCCTGATATATGATAGCTAACTTTACAATGATGTGACTGACGTTAGCTAACATTAACTGTAGCTAACGCCGGTCACTCACCAAGACAGCTGCCCTGTTCTCCACTGGTTCTCCTCACACCACAGCTCCATTTCTCTCCGATGGCCGTTATTTTTTCTAATCCTTGGCTACTCCTGGTCTCTTGGACGCCTAGCAGGCTCATAATTATATGGTTGTGGTCCGTCATATGCATACGAATATACATTTTCAACCACTTCTGTGTCAAAACTAGCATCGTGAACCATGTTTATTCATACGCTAGACCGGCTGCTCTCCCTGATGTGACGTCACACGCGGGTGGTTCTTTTTTTATGCGGAAGTAAAAATGTCTTACAAAAACGACGCCAGATGTCATTGTAGTGTATATTTCTGTATATTCTTTTGAAAATCTAGTGTATTCATCATTTTCCTACACATTTATTCACTGGGGTCACTGACATGCAAGTTGTTCTTTAAGTGTGTATATCTGATCTCAAATGTCTAAAATGAATATTTTGAATAGATTTAAATGTTTTATAATGTTTTTTCTTATGCACTGTGATATTTCACAGTTCACATTCTTCTTTTGTCATATTATTTGTTTGAATATGCCATATAACTAGACTAGCCTTGCTCTTGTAGTAAAAGTGATGATGAATATATTGTCTTGAAAATAAAATTGGACCATGAAGTAATGATTTGTCTTCAACCAAGAAATTAGGATTGAACACAAACTAAGATATGCTTCAATCGTTTACTAAGGTTTTCTATGATACTCTGGTTGCATATTGATGGATTGTGTTGGTGCGTGTTTCAGTTTGTGGAGAAGAGAAAGGAGATGAAGGCTGATGGGAGGACGGACAAGGAGCTAGAGGAGAGCTACTGCTTTTTGTTGGCTGAAAATGCTAAAGTGAGATTAACACTGTCTGAAGTCACACCACACATCTCTCAAAGTCATCAGATCAGTCTGCTGTTAACAATACACACAACTTCCTGTCTTTTTTTTTTAAGTCGTTGTGGTTTTTATACTTAATGACTGACAGGATATGGACATGGCATGTACCTAAAGTAACAGTACACAATTACGAGAACAATTATAATAATACTGCATTTAAATCTCAATGAAAATGCACTTTGACCATTATGATAACTGTGCACTTATTTAAAAGCAATAACTCCAAATGCACATGTTTTTAGGAAAGGAATAGGAAACTATCTGAACAAGAAAATCCTTGTCTCTTACAAGCTTTATCGTTAAGATCGATATTTATCCCATTCTATCAATCTAATTTCTCTCTTTTCTGAATTGTTTGTGTGTTGTAGCTGCCTGCACTGTGTGAGAAGGGGCTGCAGGTGGGTCAGAGTTGGATCACAGTGCTGGGAAACCCTACCAAAGGTAGGAGTCACAGCTTTAACCATTTTTTATCTGCTTATTTTGAATTCCCTGCTTATTCTCTGTTTCATTGTTATTTGTAACTTCCATTGGTGAACACATCCAGCACTAGCATCTACCCTTTTGTAGAATCAACCTTCTTTTTGCCCACAAGTTGGTGTAAGATGAAAAGAAATGAACCTGTGATTTTATTTGTGTTCTTCCTGTGTGTGTCTCTAGGAGTGTATCTGTCCAAATATTCAGACCTGCTTCAAGTCAACCCCATAAATCCCGGGTTCACAGGGGATATCGTCATCTTCAAAGTGATGAAGGTAAATCATGTCAGACACAGGAAACGAGTGAGAAGTTTCTGCTTCCTGCTTTGTTGCAGTGCAAATGTTTTTTTCTCGGTATCTATTTTGTTTTCATGTCGATAAAGATTCAAAGGCTTTATGTCATATGTAGTAGCTACAGTGTAGAAATGAAAATCTTAAGTCCCAAGCTCCTCCAACATTGCAACATAGTTATATAGGACATAAAACAATAAAACAGATTACTAAAACCAATTCTAAATAAAAAATAGTGCAAGAAGAAACAGAGTAGAATAGATTAGAATAAAATAGTGTTAGATTACGTTGCAGACCAATGTGCAAGTAATGCAGATGAAGTAAACTATAAACATGTCAGAAAAAGAATAAAATAAATAAATACAATAAGCTCAATAATGCAGAGAATGTTGTGAGTGACCAAGTAAATGCAGGAGTCTATTATGAAGATATACAATAAAAACTAACCAAAATGAGTAGACATACACTTATACAGACTGATAGATAACTCCTATAGGGATGTACAGATGAAGTTGGATCTGTAGTCAAAAGGCTTGTTTGAGATGAGCTGCGGCTCGCCTCGAAAGTAGACGAGAATAGCCGATTGCAGCCGGGGGAGGTCTCAAAAAGCTCGCCTGAAGTCGGACAGCTCGGAGTCGGCTTGACTCGGTTTGCAATGGCAGAAATTGTGCTGGCGTTCTTCGTTGCAGATGAAGTGGATGCAATAGAAATCCCACAATTATTATACCACTACAAATGAATGACTCGATTGTCTGTTCATTTTAAAACAAATCAATACAAGGGGGGTTGAATCCTACATGTTAAAGACAGAACCACTACTTTTCAAAACTACTTCCGTCAGTGGTCTTGACCAGTTTGCATTATAAAGAATGCACAAATGTGTTTAATCGTTAATGTCAGATATGTACTAAGTAAATACATTTGTTCCTGCTCAAGATTAGATTCAACTTTATTGTTATTGCACATATTACAGGTACTGAGACAACGAAATGCAGTTTAGCTTCTAACCAGGTGCAACAAGCAGTGAAGTGAAAAGTAATGTACACAATCTACAGAATAAAATATAGAATGAATTGAATGATGAATAAACAGTGAGGGGTATGAATACACTAGATACACAGCAGCCTGTGAGCCGTATGAACAGTGTGTATGAATATGCTAAGATATATAAAGTATGAAAACGGTAAGCAGTGCAAGTATAGTATAAAATATATAGATATTAATTTCATTATGATAAACATTGTGGAACAATGATGAAACATGGGAATGGATGTGGCGACGTAAAACTGACACAAAACAACAACAAACTTTTGCCGAGCCAATAGGAGAGTTTCATCAGCAGCACGGGGTAAAAACCACCAATGAGCGCTCAGCTCGAGATACCAGCGAGTCGTTTCCCATCAAGCATTTCGCTTCCGCAGCCCGTGGAGAGGAACTGCGCCGTCTCGCTCTCAAGTCTGCCAGCGTCTTTGTCCCGCGAGATTTCAACGTCTCATGCAGTCGAGTCTCCAGAGCAAGTCGGACAAAATGACTAACCATCATGCAACGCACTAGCAAGACGGCGGTCGCAATTGCGCAGCTCTGCGTCGGTCTCGCTCATCTCAAACGAGCCTCATGTATTGATGGTCTGTTTTTGGTTTACGCCAACCCAAAGATGATGCAAACAAAACAGCCTGTGCACCACAAAAACAAAACACCACAAAAACAAAATGCCGATAACACACTCTTAGATTAATTGCCTCATACCTCGTCCCTTGCCTCACACCTTTTTCAAAACACTGAAAAAAATAGAAGAGCTGGAATGAGTCTCCCGAGCTTTGCCACATCATCTGTCTGGTTTTGACCTTAATGATAATAAAATAACTCAAATTCAAATAGCTTTCTCACGCCTGTATTTTTGAGTCACCAAAAGTTTGCCTCATCAGTTAGATACCCAACCTCCCTTTAGAGATATCCAACCAGGTGGATACATTTGAGTTGTTTTCCAAGCATATGGTTGCCACTGTCAGTGTAGAGCCTTGCATAAACACATATCTACACAAATACTTTACCTACCCCAGCATGACTACATGAAAAACATCAGATACGTATATTCAAAAAGGTAGGTCTTATTAACCAAATCTTTGGACAAAAAAATATCTCTAATAGCAGCCGTTACATTATTTGTTGTTTACGATTATCTAGGTCAAAATAATTCACAAATCAAATGATGATCTTAAGAACATTTGAGAAAAACATAATGCTTCGGTCAAATTCATCTGTTCATTGTAACCCCCGTTTGTATGTGGGGGGTTAGCCATCAAACCTTTTTTTGTTATGCTGCGTTTGGGGATAACGAAAATACTTAGGGTTTCACAAGTATACTAATAATATTAATCCTGACATTTGAACACACTAGTGAACTTTATGGTGAATGATTTTGGACACAAAATCTGCTATAAATAATGCTATTACCTGATCTTGGTGTTAAGTCTTCTTTCAAATAAAAAAAGTGATGGAAATGGTAATAATCCGTTTTTTGACCTTTGGATTTGTATCTGTTTTTTTAATTTTAGGGTAAAGTGAAGAGCATCTATGAAAACATGAAAAACCTTTTAGATCCAACGCCTCGCTTCGACAGCCACACCTCCAAGAACGCCAGCAAAGTCACATCGCTCTCCTCCTACCGCGCCTTGGAACTCACACAGGTAAAAACACACACACTTGGATTGACAGAAATATTTTCATACAAATGATACATCACATTTCATCTGTTGGACAGTTACAATAATTATGTTAATGCTTTTAACTGCTTTTTCCGTTGTTAATAAGGCTCTTAAGTAATGTTCACATTGGAACTTAATCGTGTTTTAAATCTCAGATGTAAACGTGTCACATGAAACACCTGGTGGTACTGTGGCTTGGTGCGTGAGGGCTTTAGGTGCTTTGAAAATAAAGTAATGAAATATTTGTATGACTCAAAACTGAATTGAGCTTTGAACGCTGTTGTTCTTTTTATGTTTTTCAGCAATACTTCTACGAGTATTCCTTTGACGAGCTGCGGCCGCGCCCTCGTCAGGTCTGTCCGTACGCCGTCATCTCCTTCCTGTTTAAAGGAAAAGACTCTTCACTTCCCAGCAAACCTCTGGCCCCCATCAGGTATGGAGATATAGTTCAAGTTAAAATGCAATTGTTTTAAACAAGTGAACATATAACTAAATAAAAATATCCAGAAACACTTAATAAGCAGATGCATATTGAGGGTCTCCCGACATTTAAATGAAGACACTCAAAATAATGCCCCGGCCACACGAGGATGAAAACGGCCGTTTGCGTTACTGTTTAGTGTCATATAGACCATTCGGCCATACGAGGACGACCGAATACGGCACTAAACGACTGAGGAAACGATAACGGGTCCCAAGGTGGATAGAACGGCATACGCAACGCTCTGGGGGGTCCAACGGCTCCGTGTGTACGCCCTATACGATCATTTTCTGATAATGATGAGGCAATAGCCCCACCTCTCCCCACCTCTGCTGCTCACCCCCGCGTCAAAGTAAACTGCACACTGAATTCAGATTATTTATCTTTCTCTCAATATGGACATAAACGCGAGTGAAGTCAAATCTGACAGGACGGAGACACGCAGCTCTGCTCACCTGCAGCTCCTCCCGCTGTGATGCGGCGGTGAACGGAGTAAAACACACACTTCAAGTCAGATCATCTAGATATAAATATGTTTATTTTTACTGTCGGCCGGGTCACTCATTACTGGATCAGCTGCTGCATGAAACAGACACTGGCGCTGTCCGAAGAGAGGGAGGAAAAAGAGAGGCTCCGTGTATTTTATTATTATAATATATAGATTCGTTATTCATTTGTTTTAAAGCTCAATAAATAACAAAGAAGACCTTTGACCGGCACTTTTATAATTTTGTGGGAAGATTTAAACTTTAATACACGTTGACTGGCGAGAAACTCTGCCCGGTTCCCTCGGCCCCCACCGCGGAGAATAAACAGAAGGGCAACCATGACAACCATGCTTCTTCGCTGCTTTCGTGGAGGAAGTTACAGCGCCACGTACAGGCTCCTGCATATGTACTGCAGCTTCTCCAGCGGTTGGAGCTAAACGGAGCTGTCTCGTGTGGGCAGACACTATCCGGATAACTATTGCGTGTGGACGGAAGCTTTTTTGCGATTGCGTTTGCGTTAATCCTATGCGTTTAGCCGTTTTCGTCCTCGTGTGGCCGGGGTCTAAATACTTTCAAATAAACCCCTAAGCAGTAAGCACTAATTGCCCTAATTAACATGTTCTTTGTGCTCTTTGTTTGATGGACAGGTTGAACAGTCAGTCAGCAGAGGCCAGTAAAGGTGAGTCCCTGTCATTAAATCACAACACACCTTAAATGAACTTCACACTTGCAGCTCAAATATAGGACCCACACACCAATGTAATTGTATCAAGGTCTTAAAGAGCCTGTGACACGAGTTTCCCCCATCATCCAAACCCATCAATTTGAGTAAATATTGTCCCCTTGAAACCCGTTACTGAACTGATTTTGGATATTTGTACTTTGATAACCATTAATCTGCCCTTCAATGTTGACCATTTTCTGGATCTTCTCGGGGATTCTTCAAGTCCCGCCAAATTATGTGTGACGTCATTGCGGGCACAGCGCTCCAGCTGCACCGTTCAGGATCCCAGCATCTGCATGTAAACGCACGATGGCGCACACAGCAGCAAGCTCAGACAGCGATGACAGTTTAATGTTGAACGTGTCTGAGAGCTCATATGAGGCTGAAGGATCGCTTTATGTTGTATCTGTTTGAAGTTTAGGAATTAGGTGCGTCAATATGGGCGATCATACGGTCATGTAGCCAGTGGTGGAATGGGACTAAAAATCATCCCGGGACTCTCGACCGGCCCACTTCGGTACCGCTAGTAAATTGTCAACGGGGGGAGTGGGGGATGTCAGGGGCGGCGGGTGCTGTAGATAGTAAATGTAAATATGTAAATATTTGTGTCACTGCATCCTGGTAAAATACAAATATAATGTATAATGTCTGTGTCTTTGACATTAGCGCTGCCAGCCACCTGTGCCCTGTACTACGAAGCCAGTTCAACATACCCTGGATATGTTTGAGTAACAAACAAACTAACAACAACAAACTAACAAACGAGATCTCGCTAAGCGGTCCTACGACGCTGGTTATCAACTCGGTAACTCAAGCCAGGGTTTCTCTCTCCAGCTGAGAGCGCGTTCACGTCTAAGACACGAGTGGATCTGACTTTAATTACATTTGACTCGAGTGTTTCGTCAACATAATGTGTTGCTAATAATAATACTTCTGCATACAGTATGTGACACTGTAAGTGTTGCACGGCCAGATACGGCTGGAGAAGCTGACTCAGATAAGGAAATATATGATATATTATGATATTATATGATCGATGATCTGATTGATGATGTAATATGAATGATAAGTGCGACACGTCGGCGTCTTCTCTTCATACGGCAGTTTAAACTGTATTTCCTTTATCCTGTAATATGACTTGAGAGATTTAAACTCTGCACACTGAGTTGATCTCTTTTCTATAGACGCCGGAGGCGGGCAGCGTCAGGTAAAACAAGTTATTTAGCCTTCCCAAACCTGAGCCTCACGCGCCGCCTATGGGGGATGTGCTAGTGATTTATCCGACCGGCCCACTTCGGTACCGGCCCATCGGGATTCGTCCCGATGGCCAGTCCGCCACTGCACCCAGCCCACGTAAACTGTCAACGGGGGGAGCCTCGCTGCGGGGAAACGGTGGACCTGGTGTCCCGATCGGAGTGGGAATAATAATAATAATAATCCGTGCATTTTATCCATTAATTTCCCCAACATTGTGGTGAAAAAAACACACGTTTAATCCATGTTGGTGTACTACAACTACAAAAAGCATCGGTTTGTTTTCTCATCAGGAAATGCAGACCGGCACAAACAAACGATTTTTAATCATCATTCTCACGATCATTTAATGTATCATATGTTCGCCGAATTGACATGAAAGCACTAATAAATGTAGTTTCATCCACTTGAGTTTACAACTACAAAAATAATCGATTTGTTTTTATATCACATCCTACGGGAGGAAATTCAGTAGCTCTCACTACCGATTTTTAATCCTAATGTAATCATCATCTTCACCACGATCATTTATGTTTATGTTCGCCGAATTGACATGAAAGCACTGACAAATATGAATATACTGTCGTTAACTTCATTAAAACGTTATTAACGTGCCTAAACTCAGTAATTCACCATTTCTACGCATGACAACACACTTTGTCCGTGTTTGGCTCTCTCGCCGCACAGTGAAGCGTTCCCGCATTGACGTCACTTCCGGCTTCCCCCAAAACTTCAAAATGAGTCGAAGGAATTTCCCCACGATGTTCGAAATTATTGATATTTAACGGAACGGTATCGCTTTTTCTTTTTTAAACTGACGGTTCGAGATTACTAGTAGCCCAATATTTCATTGCACAACAGTTGTTGGGATGCTGTCACAGGCTCTTTAAAGAGATTCAAACATTAAGTGTAACAAAGAGTCGATTGTTTAACTGTTAGCTATCGTCTGTTCCTCTCAGAGCGCGCTCAGTTCACAGTGTGGAACGGAGATCTGGTGAAAGGTGACCGGCTTCTCTTCCAGATATCCCTCCGCTGCTTCTCTCCTCCCTTGCTGCCCCACAGACTGTGAGTACTGCCCTGACTTCTCCAGCTCATTAAACTGTTTAGTAATACTTTGTAATATATGCCTGTTACTGAGTGATGAGTAAGGCAACAAATACATAAAAAACAATATACTTATATGCTCCTATAGATCTTAAATGTGTGCACACTTCCTTCCTAGAGTGGGTTACATTGAGCTGAATAAAGTAGAACACGGTGACCCTCCATAAAAGCAAGATATCCAACCATTAACCCTACAGGGGAATTGACACCCCCATGTTAATGACTTTATCTCCACATAGACCCCTATCCTGTCTTTTACTGAAGTGTAATAAATAAATACAAACTGCTTTCAAGTGAACCAGAGTGATGCAATACAGATAAATGCTCCACAGAGGGTCCAAGAGTCTACCAACCGCAGCCTCATTAAATCCTGTTGGTGTGTTTGGTTCATCTGGTGCCAATATGACTGAGAGCCTATTTAGACAATAAAAAGTAAAGCAAAATAATCCACCTAGAAAAATAGATGATTTTCAAAGTTCAATAAATACATGATTTGTCCAACGTAAACAAGTATTCCTGTAAAATAATTGTGATCTCTATAGTGAACTGACCCAAAATAAACGTCTTTATGATTTATGCCATAATGGAGCACCCCCTACTTTGATCATTTGAACTGGACCTTAACAGTTAGAACTTTGATGGATGTATTTGTTAAACCAATGTTAAGAAAATGCATTTCTGGTTAGTAGAATTTTGTAATGGTGTAAATCAAATGGGTGAAGGATGATCTATGAACCTCCTTTTGATTTTTTTGTGAGAGTTCATCTCCCAACTAGAAGTAACTTTCTTATAATTTAAATACAGGTTAGACCAGTGTGTCACATGTTAAGATGATTTGCTCTGTGTCTCCCCTCGTGTCTCTCCTCGTGTCTCCTTCAGACCGGAGAAGTTGGAAATGGGTTGTGTAATGAGGCTGGAGCAGCTGACCAGGTACCTGTCCTCTGACCTGCTCTCCTACAACCTGTACAGCAGCAGCCACCAAGGTGAGGCCAGATTAACACTCAGAGTGACCATACAGCAGCTGACTCAAAGGATTCAATTATTCAAAGACTTGTATTGGGTTTTTAATTATTATTAAACTGTGAATATTCACTCAAATAAATACAAAATATAATAAAATAAACATTAAGGTGCAGCATTTCGATGAACTGAAATAATCTGTATTTGAACTGTACTGTACTAGTACCTAAGCAGCCAATTTGACATTATGACTTGCTTGTCATTGTATTTTCATGTTTTTTTAAAGAAAAATTAACTTGTCCACATTGCTTGCCGAAAGGGCAGATCTGCTGGCACTAACAATGTATCCTGCTGTGGAGAACACCCTCTCGCTAGGGACAGAGGTAGCAGATACAGCCAGGTAGCACTTTGCTAACATGGCAACATAAGGATATTTGGCGTTTGTAATAGGGATCGACCGATATGGCTTTTCCAAGGCCGATACCGATTATTAGTAATCAAGGAGACCGATAACCGATATTTGGAACCGATATACATTTGCAGTAAAATCAGAAAATCTTGGTGTCAAAATGTAGAATAACACAAACTCCAACACAACTTCTTTGAAATGCATTTAAGCATATATTATGTTTAATGAACTTTTAAACATCTTACAACTGGTTTCCTCTCTGTGCCCTTTTCTTTAGTGCAGCCATCTGCAATGTGTTAGAGAGAGACAAGAAGTGGGGCTGCAGGCTGACATGCTTAACTAACAATAATGCTTAAGTTATTATATCAAAACAATGCCTGTCTATCTAGCATAAAATCCCAATAAGCTGCTAGCAACTGCAAAACAATAGTGCTAGCTAATGTTTTGCAAACTATTAAAAGTGAGTCTATTACAGTAGACCTAACGTTAGTCTAGTAGCCTCACTTCTAATATTTTGCTAAACATATGCTAGATACATGTTGGCTAGCTAATGAGCTTCACATATCAACCCCCTGCACCACAGTTACTCCGCTGCGAGACGCTGCACGCACCCCCAACTCTGACTGACTTCCTGTGTAACTGGGAAACTGATAGAATTGGATCATAAGTTCGTGGTGTTTTTGCAACTTCAGCATAGGGGATTGGGATGTTTTATTGAACTTCGGCTTTCAATTGACTTACCTTCGAAACACATGTATGGCTCTGCCGCTCAGCGCTGCTGCTAGTGCTTCTGTGTCTGCGTTCTTTCGCACCTGCCTGTAATCTGAGAAGGTCCCGCCTCTCTGGCTGGCTCCCGCCCGGAAAATCTTCAGTGTTGATTGACACTTCAGTAATAGCCTATCAGATAGCGCTGTGGGCGGGACATTGCTCGTGTACACAGAGTGGTGACTGCAGCCAGAGAAACGGCCACATCAGAGCCAAAGTTTTATCGGCAATTTGATTAAAAAAAGGCCGATACCGATAATTGGTCAAATGCGGAATATCAGCCCCGATAATCGGCCCGGGGCCGATATTCTTTTGGTACTGGTGATATTCACGTTGTTGGAGCACCACCCAATGGCGGTGGTGGAAGGTTCACCTCTGCTCCGCGCTGTCCCTTGATGACTGATGAGCTGGTCAATTTTATAAAAGAAGGAACTCAATAATAATAATCTGTTTTTTAATGGTAAAAGCAACAATACACAATACAGAGCACTCTGCAACAGTACAATACAGAGCACTCCGGGCTGAATTCTACTACCGTATGATATACGTACCACGACAGTCAGTCAGAAGACAGCACCGAGCATGAGAATTTCATAATATTTATACACACAAGTGGGGAGGAGTTGTGTTGGTTGCTCCTCCCTAGCTATTTGTTATTGGCGATTTCACTTCTGGGCGAGCTAGCCAGTGAGTTGGCAGTTCTCCATTGGCCAGTTTCACTTCTGGGCGAGCCCTAGACCGTGAGCTGGTAGTTCTCCATTGGCCAGTTTCACTTCTGGGCGGGACCCTAGGCAATGAGTCAGCAGTTGTTGACTCCATCTGTTTCACCCCATCTCCTTACAGTGTGTGTGTGTCCATGTCCCTCTGCCCTCAGGCAGTCCCACAACAATGCTTTGGAGTCATGACAGAACGCACACCCATTCCCCTTTAACGCGCACACACATCTGTTTAAGCCAACTACTCCAAAATGTTGTGGCAATTTAGTACTCATAACATGAAAGAATAAAACGGAGAGAAATCAATAAAACACAAACACAGGTATAGTTGAGCAGTAATTATTGTTAACATGTAATCTCTTTGCGCCTATACTACTGGCCTTACGGTAGTCTAGGTTGCCCTCTTGAGACTGTGAAACGCATGCGCAGTTAGTCTGTGTCGACCTGGAGCATGAGGTCCACTGTTCGTTAATGGCTCTGTATTGGTGTTATGCACGTTGATTGAATAAACCAAGTTAACAGAAGATAAACGTCGTGTTTATTTGTAGTAGACTAACATTGGTAGCAGAGGATGGTTAGCAGAAGATGGCTACTGCTAACTACAAAGTTCCACCGAAGTTCGACGAATCCCGACCATACGAGTGTTGGAAAAATGAAATCGCCATTTGGAAGCTGGTTACTGAACTTGATAAGAAGAAACAAGCCCTCGCCATTGTCCTGGGGCTGGAAGGAAGGGCAAGGGACATCGCCATGGAAATACCCGCTTTGGATTTGAACAACAACAATGGTATGGACACACTGCTAGCAAAACTAGATGGCATGTTTCTCAAAGAAGAGAGAGACCGCGCATACGATGCTTACTCTTTTTTTGACTGTATCAAAAAGGAGAGCTCCGTGTCCATGGCGGACTATGTGATTGACTTTGAACAGCGATACAACCGAATGAAAAAGTACGACATGACTCTTCCTGACGCCGTGCTAGCAATGAAGTCCGCGCTGAAGAGGATCTTTGGGGGGAGAGTGCAAGGCGGCACATCAAACGGAATACACGTTAACGATGAAGCGTTATTCATAGAGCAACGCTCACAAGGAAGATTCAGACGTCCAACAACGCAGCAGTTTGACAAGTTGGACAACAAAGGCAACCGTCACAGGGTACCAACCCACTGGATAGGTTCGGTAAGAGATCAAAATGTGCTATATGTCAGAGCACGTTCCATTGGGCTAAAGACTGTCCTCACAAGAGTAGCGAACAAGTAAAGCTAACTGAAGATCAAACAAAGGTAGAGGTATGTGACATTACACTGTTTACTAAAGCCTCACTGTTTGAATCAGAGGTATTCCTAACTGAGTCTTTAGGGACGGCTATCATTGACACTGCATGTACCCGCAGAGTGTGTGGAGAAAAATGGTTGGACAGCTTCGTCGCTGATCTCAGTCAAAGTCAAGTGAACCAGATTGTGAAAAGTGAAACTCCAAGCTCCAGACCATTCCGTTTTGGAGATGGAAATATAGTGCATTCCTCCAGAATACTGAAACTGCCTGCCAAAATAGGACAGACAAAATGTCGAGTGGAAACTGAAGTAGTCAAAGCTGATATCCCCTACTTCTGAGTAAGACTTCACTGAAAAGGGGCAGGAACCATCTTGGACATGGAGAATGATAGAGCTGTGATGTTTAAACAGAATATCCCTCTTGAACTCACCAGTTCAGGACACTACTGTATAGATATCAGAGACAAGGACACAGGAATGAATCAAATTGAAATTAAAGATGTGGTCCTTACAGTCACAGAAAACAGCAGCCAGAATGAAGATATGAGGTCCTTACAGTCACAGAAAATATGACCTCAAATGAGAAACACAAAGCTCTCCTGAAACTACACAAACAGTTTGGTCACGCCTCCGCAGAAAGACTACAGCGACTCCTCCGCAGTTCGGGAAATAAAGACAAAGATTGTGACACTATTTTACAACAAATAGTACAGGAATGTGACATATGCCAGAGATACAGCAAGACCAAGCCGAAGTCTGCTGTGGGCTTGCCTCTGGCTTCAGAGTACAATGAAACGGTGGCAGTGGACCTGCACGAGTTGGAACCAAGTTTATGGTACCTCCACATCATTGACCAATTTACACGTTTCAGCGCTGGAAGCATTGTGAAAACAAAGAACTCCTCTGTGATGGTGAACTCTTTCTTTCATACATGGATCAGCGTCTACGGCCCACCACGGAGACTTTACAGTGACAATGGAGGAGAATTCAACAATGCAGAGTTCCGTGACATGGCAGAGAACTTTAACATTGAGACAAAAACCACGGCAGGATACAGCCCCTGGAGCAATGGGCTACTGGAGAGACACAATCAGACCCTCACCGACATCATCCAGAAGGTCAGACGGGAAAATGGATGTGACTAGCAAACAGCCCTAGACTGGCTCTCATGGCTAAGAACAGTATGCTCAATGTGCACGGCTACAGTCCTCATCAACTGGTGTTTGGCCAGAACCCCAACCTTTCCTTCTGTACTGGTTGATAAACCACCTGCACTAGAAGGTACCACTATGAGTGCTAGAGTAGGAGAGAGCACATTTCAGCCTTGCATGCTCTAGAAAAGCATTTACTGAAGCAGAGTGCTCAGAAAGGATAAGACGAGCACTACGTAAGCAGCTCAGGACCCACAGATGAGAAATATGAGATGGGGTGACAAGGTGTATACAAACGAGCTGAATGCACTGAGTGGAAAGGACCAGGGATAGTTATTGGTCAGGATGGGGCTGTTGTTTTTGTGAGGCATGGTGGTTGCCTAGTGAGAGTGCATCACTCTAGGCTTTCCAAGATGAACACAAAGGTTAATGAAGAGCAAATGGTACAAAATGATGCTGACACAGAAGCAGGAAGTGAGCAAGGTATAAACAATGCAATTGGTAGTTTAGACAGTGAGCAAAATACAGAGAATGAACAACAATTCGGTGACAGGGAAGCCAATACAAGTGAAGCTTTGAGTAGCGTAACACAAACTGAAATGGCGCATAGGCTAATGCTCATAATAAATCCTGCTCCTTCTGCAGGTGTGATGTTTAAAAACAGGACAGACTGTAACATATATGAACAGAGGTGACAATCCTCTACTT